TTTTTTAGTTTTTTTACTTCTACACTGAAAACCGTTCATCGTACGGAAAAAATGTAAATTATAAAAAGAAAGATGATGAAATTTTCTACAAGAATGGTCATATTCATTTCTTCCGTATATGCATTGGTTTAAAAGATATTCTCAATTTAATATCAAAATTCTTAAATAAATTGATTTTTCATGCGTTTTTTATCAAATAAGTTTGTACAATCCATTAGCCTGTTGTTGTTTCACATCAATCAGGATAGAAAACAGGTTTTCGAACACTAACCTATATAATATAATATATCAATCGTATATATTGTGTTAAAAATAGTTTATATAAATTTAAATAAGTCATGTATATTTGTCATGGAAACAAGTAATTTTGGCATAATTATTACACTAAAAATTAAAAAGATTATGTTTGTAGCTATATTTGTCCAGGTTTATTTATAACAATTACCGAAACCAATATTATTGTTCATGGTCTGGCTCACTTGGGACGAGAGGGTCCGACTTCTGTCCCAAATACTGGTGCCATCTGGAACTGAAAACCACCATCTAGGACATCTCCATCATTCAATTCTTGTTTATTAGACTCAATATTGGCTATCGAAGTGAGAATTCGGTGTAGGCCTGTATATTCTTTCTGTGGATTTGTATAAGTTAAAAAAGTTATCAAGATTTAAAGGATTGTTAACGATTCTCACGCATAAGGTTATTTGGCAAAGGGGATCTTGAGTGCGATATGTGATGGATACGTGAGGTACGTGGATACCTATTACCTTGTAAGGTTATGCATTGTTGTTTTTGACGGATATAGCAATTCAGAAAACAACACGAAGATGGCAGACCAAGAAAGACGCTACAGATTGAAAAAGTCAGTAGTAGTGGTGGTCCCAGGATTTAATTTCCGGGGGCCCTCCGGTGGTTAACCCCCCCCCCCTCGGAAAAAAATTTGGAATTTGAAGCACAATAACGTATTTTTATATGCATTTGAGCTCTAAAATATCTTTAAGCTAATAGTATTTTTGTTAGATAATAAAATATTTCGGAGAGAATATATACCTCCCCCCCCCACTAAGGGACCGCCACTGGTCAGTAGATATTCATTTGAACAGAGGCACCGATATTATAGTAACCAGGAACAGTTAATCAAGTATTTTGCAAATGTACTATAACGATATGATTATAACAGTGCCAGATGTGCAACTTGTGCATGCAAGAAAATGTCCAATAATTGTTCTCCGTTATGCCAGAACTGCTAAGGGAACTTTTTACATGAAATGCCCATTCTGATGAATGAGGAAGATGAAGAATATACAGGCCTACACCGAATTCTCACTTCGATAGCCAATATTGAGTCTAATAAACAAGAATTGAATGATGGAGATGTCCTAGATGATGGTTTTCAGTTCCAGATGGCACCAGTATTTGGGACAGAAGTCGGACCCTCTCGTCCCAAGTGAGCCAGACCATGAACAATAATATTGGTTTCGGTAATTGTTATAAATAAACCTGGACAAATATAGCTACAAACATAATCTTTTTAATTTTTAGTGTAATAATTATGCCAAAATTACTTGTTTCCATGACAAATAATATACATGACTCATTTAAATTTATATAAACTATTTTTAACACAATATATACGATTGATATATTATATTATATAGGTTAGTGTTCGAAACCTGTTTTCTATCCTGATTGATGTGAAACAACAACAGGCTAATGGATTATACTAACTTATTTGATAAAAAACGCATGAAAAATCAATTTATTTAAGAATTTTGATATTAAATTGAGAATATCTTTTAAACCAATGCATATACGGAAGAAATGAATATGACCATTCTTGTAGAAAATTTCATCATCTTTCTTTTTATAATTTACATTTTTTCCGTACGATGAACGGTTTTCAGTGTAGAAGTAAAAAAACTAAAAAATGGGGTCTTTCCCCCCCTCCCCCAGCTGAAGCAGCAGGGCCAGGGGCGGGGACTTTTGGTATTTTTATCTTCTAACTACCCCGAACACATTCCCGCAGAAAAAAAATTTCCCCCTCTCCATGTCCTCTACACCCCCCTTTTGAGCATTCATTGACTGGACTACTAGTCTTGCCCAGGCGCCGTGAAATTAGTTTACGTTACGTTTATTACTCTATTAAACACCCTTTCTTCCCCGGACAAATTAAATGCACCTTCCTGAGGAAATTACAAATAAATAAACCACTTAACATAGAAGCAGGATATTGAATCGTGAATCGATCGGTTTGGGTGAAGAAAGCCTTTAAGACTTTGTTTATAGGCAATACTATCTACAAGACTTCATGACATATCCTAGGTAGGAATATTTAATAATTACAAATTAATCTACAAACAATATTTTTTTTAGAAATGAATCTAATGCAAGTTTTCTAGGGACTACAAGTTTCTTTGAATCAAAATCTAAGACTTTTAGCGGACCTTTACCCGTAGATATTATCTATAACATTTATATTTATCGATTATAATCGGGGAAATTCCTTGAATTTCAGAATTCTTTTTACTCTCACATAACTATCTCTAGTACCTAAATAATTAGTGTAGAAAGTAATCTTATTTCTTATCAACCGGTTGATTAATAAGTTAATTGTGAAAAAATATAAACACACTGTACAATTTATTTGTGTACTAAATACATAGGGTGTCGTAATTTATCAAATACTATATATGTAGCTTTTTCTTTGTCTTTTTTATTTTGTACATTAAAATAAAATTGACAGATTTGGCTATTTTAGTAGTATGGCCCGAATAAAGAATGGCTGGTTTAGTTTAAATTCTCAACCTAAGTGATCACCTTGTGAAACAATCCAAGGACGAATAAAAAAGTGGACAACTAGAACAACTAGGGTAAGATAAGTGTAGGGTCAATAGCATTTTCCCCCAGCATGTTATCGACAACGTTTTTGCAGCCAGGTGTAAAATGATTCGTACACAATCCCAATAAAAAATAATTACCGTCGATCTGGCCCTATTATTAATGACATACAAAATCAATGACAAATCGCCTTACTAGAAGAACATATATGTACGAAGATGTAAGAACGAATGTCGAATTTGTATTACAAGAAGACTAGAAATGCAGTAGTTTACAAATGCAACCCATTACTTTGTTAAAGTAGTTTTCAAAAATGTAAAATAACAATAAACAGTAAACATTAAAAACATTACATACCAGAAAACTTATCTTAAATGTCGATGATGTGATCCTTTAGGATGACAACTTTGGGAGCAAGTTTAATCCAGGAACTTAAACTCCATAGCACATATTGCGACTCAAATTCACTGCACAAAATTATATCTAACAATTTTTATTCCAGTTGAAGTCGTTGAGGACAGCATAACCGATTCCTAAAAACCAACACACGTCTAATATTTGTGTTGTCTGCCCGACCCTCCTGTCGTCACAAGCAAACAAACCTGCATCTGTCACTTTCATGATATCAACAATTTATAGCAACACAAAATCAAATATACGGACGATAAAGTTATAAATACGACTACAGTGTACAATTTCGGGCGAAGACAAAACGCACGAAATGCATCCATGTTCTTTCATGTTTATTTGCTGGCTTTCATAGGACTAATGAAATTCGTGTTTGATCACATTTCATAAAATTACAATTAATTGTTAATGTGTAGAAGCTAGCAACTCTAAAGATAAATTCACTAAAAATTATTAATAAATAGGAAATATAAATAAAGAATAGGATAGGATAGCATTGGATAAATAGGGCATCGCAGTCATTTTCTGGATCAAATTTCGAAAATAAATTGTTCCAGATCTGATGTGTACTGTACTAATATGAGCTCATTTCATGAAGACTACCACCAACCGGCGCAGAACAGGAAAATAAAAAGGCTCCGCAAGTTGCTTTGCAAATATAAACTAAGCTTGAGTTTAAAAAGATTTACACAATTCAGCAAGTCGTCAAAAAAGAAGAGACACTTATGAGTCATGACTACACCGTTGTGAAAGAACTTGATGAGAAATGCTCCGGAATGTGCATGAAAAACCAGAGAGGGCGAAAAGTGTGTAGAATCCACTCAGAAGGTAAAGACGAGGGTTTGCGTAAAGGTAATTTTAGACCCCAAAATCTTAATGGGCCTCTTCACACTGGGCCACCATGGTGGCGACACCGGTGGCGACACTGGTGGCCGGTCAAAATGCGCATGGACCACCAGCTCAGCCACCAGTGCAGCTGCAGCCACAAAGCTCACAGTTGGACGTCGAAGAGCCAGGTGCTTAGAGTATATATTTTTTTTTGAAATTGTGAAAACATAAGAAAAAAACGTATTTTTTGTTCATCCGTTTTTATGAGATATAAGTACCAGAGAGACTTTTTTCATTCACTACCAAGACCTTAGAAATAACCCTGATACGTTTCACAATTACTACTTACTCAAGAATGAGTGTTTTAAGTTTTGATGAGCTTCTGGGACGTCTGAAAGATAAAATATCTCCAGAAGAGAAACTGCTACTAACGTTGTGGAAAATTAAATAAAAACATAGTTCACATACCATTTATTAATAACACTGTAATACCTTGACTTAATGTATACATTGCAATGACGAAAAGATGTAAATGAAATAGAGTACCTATACATTTTGTTATATCAATAAAATCGTTTCCCCATATTTATTACCTTAACAACTTCAAAAGATTAGTAAACTAGTATACTGAGTAATGCCCGCTGGTAGTGACTGGTGGCGCTGCCAGTCGCTCCAATGTGAAGAGTCCGATAAGAAACCATGGTACGACGTGGTGGCGCCACCAGACTGGTGTCTCTGAAAATCGCAACCCCGAGCCACCGCATTTCTGGTCGCGCGGCCAGACGCGCCACCAAAGCTCAGTGTGAAGATGTCCCATTTAAATCAATGCTAATGTAACGTAGCCACCATGGTGTCGCCACCGGTGTCACCACCATGGTGGCCCAGTGTGAAGGGGGCCTAAATAATACAAATTCACAAAGTTTTACCTGTTGACAAGTGATCCAAAGGATAGCAGAATTTGGAAATCTGAGCGGCCCAGCGTGGCTGCCTCCGCCAGCAGCACGCTGTTCTTCGATCAGTTCACTGTGACGTCGACCCGTGGACTGTACCACCTGAAGAGACCTGAAACAAGAAGATTAGTATAACAAGATGGAGCTACGGATACAATTAACTTAATATGTTTGGCCTTAATCTTGTTATTTCCTACAAGAAGAAAGCTTGTAGATGGCAATATTTCCCACGAGATTTCAAAACAGAAAAAATTTGATTTATCCTTCCTCGTCTGAGTGTTGTCTGGATTAGTACGGTATTCCAATAAGAAATAGTGGACGGACCGTTTTAAAACATTACGATTGAAATATACACTTTTGAAAGAATATATACGTTTGAAAAAGAAAGGCCTGAGTGTATGAACTATTGAAATTACACCTGGATAGACAGCAAAGAAGTATTGGATCGTATATCCTTTGTCTTGCTCTGTTAAGTTGATTTGTAAGTGTTTGTTATCCATTCATAAACAGTGCTTCGAAGCTAAAAGTGCGATGGGTGGTACTTTTTCAATTAGAAAATTCTATAATCTTTGGAAAATCATAAATCTACCTACTTCCAATAATCCTCTTCTAAAACCTACAGTCCACGAATATGACAAGCTGACAAAGCAATTTTTCCATTCATACCACAATTCTGCAATCCTAAGCTGCCGCCGGAGCTGCACTGGTAATCTTCTCTGGTGCCGTGTCAAAATACACAGAGGCGATGTTCTAGGAACGCCAGAGATGAAGACTTCAGCACTTAGCCGAGGATTACCTTACAAGGGTGGAGTCTTACACATCCGTCGAGGAGGTGGCATCAGCGAGCGGATCGTGTGGATCTACACAAGTGATGGCGATTCTGCTTTGTCTTCACTGGTTACTCTTGAAGCAACGGCTTAAAATGTATCGGTTGCAAGTATCAAACCAAAAATTGGCGTAATCGATTGAACAGTTACAAATTAGTGGCATTAGATATTCGGGCGAGATCATATAGTTCCTGTAGATTAACTGTGAAGAATTTGAAAACCTCAATCTATATTCAGTAATCTCTCGCAAATACTAGACAAACTCATGGCTCATTTGAGAATAAAATTGCTTAGTATAGCGTTAGTTTGATAGGCTTGCTACCTCGTGCTTGTTAAATTCCCTTCCCAACTGACTGCAACAAAATTTACCAGTATGAGGTCGGGGTTTAGTAAATCCTTATCTAACCCTTCTTCAGAAGTAGAAAATGTCCAGATCGTACCTAGTAGCAATACTTAAGATCACCACTGATGAACCATCTCCATAATTACAAAGGCATACAAAGTTTATATTTTTTGTCCTTCGACAAATCATTTGACCTTATTCTGTCTCCTATTTAATTGCCTATTAGTACTGCATTACATGCCTTGTTTTGATATTGTAAAACCTTTACATTAAGTTCCCCAAAATATATTGAAATATATTATATATATATACATATTTCTTACAGCGGTAATAAAAAGAGATAGAGATCTGATTATAAATTGCATTTGAACAATTAATTGATGAGTACATTTCACTTTCTTCGTCAACCATTTATTTACGAATTCTAATCTATAGCTCAACTGAAACTCTAGAAGCCAATCTTGAATCACTGGGTGGCCGTGACACTGGCGGGATGACGAAATTTGGCAAATCCCCTTTCCTCCAAGGCCGCGCAGCACATTCTCGCAGATGTATGGCGGAAGGCGAGCCAACTGCGCGGATTGTACGTGTCGGCCAGTGAACCAAGACACATCGCGGCCTTCACAGTATTTTGATTGTGCTAGGAATTCGATCGACAACTGGGCCAAATCGCTAAAGAGCAGAGCTTCAAAATGTGATAAAGTGCAAGTATTGACTTTGGATACGGAGGCGGACATCTACTCGGACCAGCTAAATCAAGTTTCATGCTCCAAGAGAATGTTGTTAGTGAAATAAGGTTCTCAATGGGTGTTCAGCTATTGATGATTTAATTTATCTTCTAGATGATTTTACTGTGTTTGCAGATTCAACAAAAAAAGCGAATCGCTAAGTAACTTAAATTCCAAAACAAATAGGCTAGTAAGTTATTATTGACCAGCTAACGATGTAGGGCAACCTCTGACTGGATGATGAGAAGAATATCTACTTGGACTAGTTCGGGATGGGCCAAACCTGCTAAAGAGATAGAAGAAACTACTTTAAGTGAAAGCATTTACTTTTGATTTTAAATTTGTCATATCCATATGGACCAATTGTAGTTAAAGAGGGCACAGTAGTAAGAACTTACAGTGTGAAATACTATTGAAAATAATGTGTCTCGATATTTTTTGATCTTACCTACTAAGATCAAGTATATTGATTTGCAATGCAGGTATTAAAGCAGATAAAATTATCCAGTAGACAAGATTTAGTCAGTATTGACTTAAGGACTTTTTCAATACGCGTTTTTTTGAATGAGTTAGTTTCAAAATTGCACACTTGTTTTATTTTGTTTAGTATTTGTTTATTTTTTTGTTTTAATTTTTTTTATATGCTAAAAGATTGTCATAAACAATACTATAGTTTATATTACGTTTCCTTATCCTTATTGACATTATTTTAGCATTATATCAGTGGAATGTTTTGTCAGAAGCTTAATTAAGGAAGAGTTTGGCGTATTTTCCAGGTAGCAACGAAACTTTATATAACTTTCGTCTACCGCAACCAACTAATAACTTCTTAAACAAACTCAGCTAGATATGTCGCTCGTGTGAACCGTTCAGTCACCAAAACTCATCAGGGGCCAAAAAAGAACTCACGACAACTCCCAACAATAAAACGAATGGGATTATCATAGGCTCATGGCGAAAGAATTTGACATCGCACTTATGAGCTTCCATACATCACGGGGGCTTCGGGACTTATAATAAAGAGATTCCCGTCTGCAATCAATTGTGGCATTAGTGTTCAACACCCCCTCACAACTGCACTTACAGAAGACTGGGGTAGGGGAGGAGATTGATGATATTCAACCACGAAGATGAATCGCGTGACCTTGACAAGGGGAAGATCTGAGGGAAACATCCGGTACAATATTCACACCATTTGTTCCATAGTCGAAACATCGTTGCAAGGGGTGCTGATGATATTGAGGTTATATTCTAATGTTGTGTAAGCTAACAAGAGGGGAAATTATGTATGTTGATGACAACTGCAATAATGTTTCGTTTTTTTCAGCTATGCTACTGGCATTTATTAACGTTATCCAGGACGATTCCCCCTCAAAACTGTAGTGCCATTATAGTTCCTAGTGGCAAATCATTAACCTAGCTGTATACAATGCTCTAAAATGGGTGCGTGAAAAAAACTAAGTCCAGAGCGAGGGTCCAGATTAATGCTAATTCACTTTAGTTTAGAAAAGTAATTAAAACATTGCTACACAATCTTCTACCAGTCGATTAATTAATTTCGGATATTACAGAATATTAGGATACGAAATAGCCTCATGCAATGTTGAGTAAATGCTGGAATAAGAAACTGTATGTAGGAAGCGAAACTTTTCCATAATTCAGGGAAGTTCAGTTCCAATGCAGAGTTCTGTCGCATTTTGACATTTGTTGCGTTTAACTGCCAATTTTAATCGCTGAGTTTTGTCAACATTTTGAGCTTGATGCATTTACGCATACAAATTTCAGTTGATTATTTGAAATTCATAGTGAACTGTTTCCCATAATTATATTTTACTTTAATAGATTTTAATTGTAATGAGCTCTTAAATTACCATTGGTTCTAATTATATATCATGAACTTTAGAAAGTATGCAATTTGCTAAATATTATCATATGCATTTGATTTAATAGTATGTTTCAATTTCGCTTCTTAATAATGTAGCTTGGAGGCCTAACATTTGCATAGTACAGAGTATTATAATTATAACTGATTTCAACTCAGGAGGTCTCAAATACGAGTCTTCTAGACAGGTAAATGGTTACAAAGTAAATCTTAGCAATAGTGCAAATTATTATGCTATAACAACTCTAATAAAGCTTTACTTATTTTGTTACAATCCAAGTAGGCCTATACTACAGTGACACATGAAATTGCTTAATTTTCCTACAATTCAAGACAACTAACATTCCCTCAGACTATTTTCGTACATTCTAATATTCTATCTTATCACAAAAATTATTTTAGACAAACAACATTGGTAATGTCTATGTTTAAACGGTTTAACGAATCATTTTTACCTACGCGGTCATTACTTTTGAAGACTAAACATTAACCGACGCGTGCCAAAATGTTATAAAAACTGGTTTTATTGTATTCGTCCAAGATTTGCCAAGTGATATTCGAACGTTATTGAACCTTAGCCATGGTCCCATGTGGTCTACACCAACAACCTCCCAACATGACAAACTTGTGGCCAAGGGGTGGACCAGCCTAGGGGAACTAATGAAGATGAATAACATGGAAAATGGAACTGACCGCTTGTCTTATCACCAAGGGACTCACTCTTGCGACAGAGAACAGGCGGCGTTGCTTTAAAGGTCTTGTAAAACTTATGAATTTAAATACACTGATTGGATAACAGTGAGAATTTTTAGGAAAGGTCAAAAGGGTTATTACTCGACGAGTATGTACTGGAAAAATCCTTCCTCAGATAATTCGAGAGCCGAACAGTTAACTTAACCCAAACTATCCTACCATAGTCTAACCTAATCTAAAACTGGGATGGTAAGCAACAAAAGAATTTATCAATAAGTGATCTCGTATTAGCATAGGTATTATACAGAAGGCATAATACATGACCACTTATCGATAGAAAAAATGTTGATCGATAAGTGCTCTTGTATTAGCAAAAGTAGGATACAGAAGGTTTTATCATAGACTAAAGTGTGTTTATATGGTTTTATATGTTCAGAAGCCCAGCGAGTCAACATAAACTAACCTACCACTGCCTAACCTAACCTTACCCAACTTAATTTGTCACATTTATAAAATATTCATATTACATCAAACATTCATATTACATATTCAGAGTAATATTACACTGGTGTTTAGAAAAGTTTAGGTGCTCTCGTATCAGCAAAAGTAGTATGCAGAAGGTATTATTAATTCCGAAGC